TTTCACTTTGAGGGTTGTAAGGCACTGGAACAGGTTGCCCAGAGAGGTTGTTGAGGCCCCATCCCTGGAGGTGTTCAAGGCCAGGCTGGACGTGGCCTTGGGCAACCTGGTCTAGTGGGAGGTGTCCCTGCCTATGGCAGGGGGGTTGGAACTCGATTATCTTCAAGGTCCTGTCCAACCTAAACCGTTCTATGATTCTATGACATGGTGGCTTAGAAGTAAGACTTGCTGAAAACATGCAGTTTTACTTCATTACTGCTCATCATATGAGATCTGCAGTCATTAAAAATAAAGAATTATTGAAAATAATTAGGGTGTATATATAACAGGGTATATATGTAAGCATAAGTGTGTTTCCTGGTAATTGGTGCTCTTTCTGAATGAGATGTGATTGCATAAAGCATGGGCTGGACCTGTTTCAAACCAATAATTCATTTCACATTGGCTGAACTTGAATTTGGTGGGGGGGAAGCTTGTGCCACAAAAGAAAATTGCATATTTATGGACTCAGTTTTGCATTTGTCTGTACAAATCTGTCTATAATTTCAGTAATGGCCAAAGATGTATGACAACAGGCAGTATTTTATCTTGGTTTTTTTGCCAAAAATTGTATTAACAATTTGACTTTTTTATACTAGTGTCGTACAATTGATTTGCCCGTGAATAAGATCATTAGAGGAGGGTTTTGCTTTGAGTAGTGCAGAGTGCCAGCATTTTTTAATAGTGTTAACAGCATGACCAGGATAAGTTCCACATGATTTTATTTTATGGCATTATCACCTCGTAGCCTGTTGGCTAAAAATTACCAGAACTGTAACAGTCCTGGTGGGATCTGTTCTCCTGGCCAACTGTTTAATAGTGCCTGTTTTGATGTCAACAGTTTATGTTGTCATAATGATATTAAGTTCTAAATTACACTTGTATAGATAGTCACAACTGGTCTAATCTGATCAGCAACTGAGCTTATTATTAAGCAGTGAGATAAACACACATCTTCAGCAGCCAGTTCATGTTCCCTTTGGGAGAATCCTTGGTCACTTTAGAAGTAATTACGGTACTATTTTGAAGCCAAAGTCAATGTAACTTACTTTCTTAAAAATGCTTTCTAAAAAGAGCAAGTTTTGTGCTTTTGCAGTCACAAAAGTTATTGATGGAAGTAAGGAAATTGCAGGTGAAGTGTAAATCGTGGAGTTTTCTGTCTCCTTCCTGTTTATAGACATTATTCTAGCAAAAGATAATTAAATCCAAATGATGTTTGCCACGATATTTGTCTCTACTCTGGTTTGTGCTTTGCCCATGTCTGTGCAGTCAATAATAGCCACTAGATGGTGCTCAGGTGCTTTAAGACTGGCTTTTGCTGTCACAAGTTGCACAAATGTAAATATGTATGCTTGTTGGGAATACTTAAGAGGAAAAATGGATGTAACTTATGTCTGCATACTCTATATTATAGGTACTGTTGTCTTGTGATTAAAGGAAAGATTGCACTGAATTTCTATTTTTAAACTAGTAAAGAATCATTCTATTTCACGGAATGGGTGAGCAGGTTTGCTTCAAGAGACTCCTGGCACAGACCTGGGCTGTAAGCCACTTGTAGGCTGGAAGGCTGACTTCACTCCATCCCTTTTCATGGGCCCCATAATTGCCACTTGTCTGAAAGTAAACTGAAAATTTGCAATAGAGGCCGCTGTTTGCTAAAGTATGAATGCTCGTATAAACTTACGCATGCTGTCTGATTTGGATGTATAAATCTCTTTGCAGGTCTGTGTAGATGTTTGCCTTCTCATATGGAGATTTTGCCCTGAGTATGAATATTGAAGTGTTCTTGAGCTCTTGCTAAAGGACAAGTGTGCAACATTCACACTTAGCTGGCTAAAGTCTGGTGTGTCCATTGACAGGGACAGTAATTATGCCTTCACTCAAGTTCTCTCTTCTCTGGTTTCTTCTTGACAAGATGTTTTTCTGAAACAAGAGCTGTAGGGTATTTTTAGGGGTTTTTTGTTGTTTTTTCTTCCCCATCCTGTTAGCTAATTTGCTTGCCTACCATCTTCTCATATAATTTTGTATGTACATTTTGGTACTAAAATAATTCTAATATATTAGTCATTTGTCTCTAACTGTGCTGAAAACCCTGGAGTTCGCATGTCAGAGTGCAGAAAAGCTTGTGCAGACTCCTGACTTGCACTGTGTCCAAGAAATGACTTGAAATTTCTCCTCACGGTAGAATTTGTAACTCCATTTAACTCAATTCCTGACACACCTCACCCTTCTCTGGTTACAGTGGTGTGTGGTGGGATATTCAACTCGTATACACCTGAGGGCTTGCTTCTGGGTTTGGTTTCCCTGGTCCTGTTGCTCTGGGTGGGTCTGGAGGCTGAAAGGAGTTTGGTAAAAATGCAGTGTGCTGCCCCAACCTAAGGCAGAGGTGGGCAGGGGAACATCTCAGGCCAGGTATACCTTTGCCTTGTGCTACACTGAAGTCTGCTATGAAATTAAGCTTTCGGTTCAACATGTATGTGGGCAAATCTAAACCAGGATGGAAGAAATTGTAGTGCAGTGTTAAATGCTGAAGCACTCTGTCTGCTCAGTGAAAATAGAGTTCACAAATGTTTCTTTGTATGTATGGTAGTTTGGATTAATGATTGACTGATATTTCTATTTGATAGCTGATTGACTGCATGCTATGTTAACCACTTTTCTCGTCAAGCTAGTTGCATTTTGGGTGGTAGTCAGGACCTGATCACAGAGATAACAACAAAATTTGCAAACAGCATGATGTATTTAAAGTGGATTGTATATAGTGAAAAGTCTCTTAAAGCGTTTAATTTTCTTTATTTCACTTTCTTTAGGAACCTGCCCATGATTTTAAATTGGGTGAAAGCGCAGAAACCAGGTGTTATGGGTGTTAACATAATTACATCAGACTTTGTGGAGCTGGTTGACTTTGCTGCTACAGTTATTGCATTAAACGACCTTCTTTTAGAAGAGGATGAATCTGCAACTAAGTCCTGATTGCTGTGTCCCACGTGCTCCTCAATGGACATCTTTGAAATATGCTAAATGTTTTATTTATTAAGTGAAGCCTATTGTAATCTCCGTTTATTTAACAAAGTTTTCTAGAAGAAATGTGGTTAAACATCACAAGGCGGGTCCCTTCTCCCAGTGCTCTGTGGATCTGAGAGGAACACAAAGTGCTGTGTGAGTGCTGCTGCGTGTCTGTCTGTGGCTACGTGTTTGACTAAGTTATGCACACATCTGCTGTGGTCTGGTGCGGTGTCTGCCTGCCAACAAGAGGCTGGCCTCAGGAGCAGATGTACCCGATTATGGTGCACGTCTCCCTGGTGACTGGACTCACCGTCCCCTTGTGTGTGCCCATCCTGCTTCTTTCTCAACACCAGGACTCAAACCAAGGATCGCTACTGATCCCTTCGCAGCAGTGTGACCGGGCTGGCCGAGACGGTATTGTTCTTGGGCCACCTCAGGCGTAGCTGGGCTCAGCTGGAGGCTGCTGCTGTATTCATTATGCTGTTTTAGACACTACCTCTGACTTACTTGAGGAAATAACATTGTCGTTGTCCAGGGGAAGCTGTTATACTGTATTGAATATCTGAACTGTCCTTTGGGCCTGAGAGGCGAAGGCTTGGCATACTTTGCCTCTTTGGACTCCAAAGTCTTCTTACGGACCTCTTCATTTTACTTTGATACATTTATTGTAACCATGTTTAATTGTATCTCTTCTGGCATTAATTTGGAGAATATTTCAGTCTTCAAATTATTAGGATCATAACTCGGAAGTCTAAATTCCTGTTGTGAGACGTTTGAGAAACCACAATGTAACCTTTCTTTTTTTTCTTGCTGGTCATTTGGGTTTTTTTTCATCCATCGAGTTTCTCTTCAGGAAAGTCTCTCACCCAGATGGCCTTTCTCTGGAAGGAGGTGGGCTAAGTGGAGGTTTGCTTGGTATTCAAAGGGCTGGAGCTGACAGGGACTGCTCAAAACCCAAATATTCAATCTCTGATTTGCAATGTGACAGTGAATTCCAAAATCAGACCCAAAAGTTGTGCTTGTTGTCAGACAGGCACAGCTGTGGGGGAGAAATTTCCCCAGCCTGCACCCGCTTGTGACAAAGTAAGCAACAGTCACACAGGCAAGTGTCAATGCTGTGTCTTTCTGTAGTCATACTTGGGTTTGTGTTGATTCATAACAAAATGTGACCATGTGTGCTTGAGCCAATGCAGTCACATGTTGGTACTTATCAGCACTTAATTGACCAGCGGATAGCAGGCCTACAGTCTGATTTGTCTTTGGTTAAAAAAGAGCAACGTAACACAAAAGTGACTGATTAGCAGATACTTCTCTGCTCAATCATTTTTCTAAAGCAACTGTTGGTGCGCTAATTATTTGGTGATTATGAATTTGTATTCATTTCTAAGCTATTTATAATAGGATGGATTGTCTTTATAGATATTTTATTGAAAAGAAAAGTGAGTCTTCAGATTTATTTATTTTGTTATCGTATCCTGCATCTGCTGTCATGGTCTGACAGCCCAGAAAAACCCAAAACCTCTTTGCTTGTCACAAGCTCTGAACTCAGGACAAGTTTATCTAAAGGCTTGTAAACCTTCCATGTGAACCTTGGCCAAATTCTGAGCAGCCTGTAATCTGATTTATCTGTTTATTGCATGGTTTTCATTAGAGTTCCTCAAATTTTTAAGTGAGTTCTTTTTGTAAGGGAGTTTGGGGCGGGGGGGGGGGGGGGGAGGTGGTCTGTCTCTCAAGCTGTCTTTCTCTTTTCCTTTTGTGTTTTGCTGATGGGGGACAAGTCATGAAAGTCACGTTTTGGGAACTAAAACTCAAATTTCTAGTTTAAAACTTCCTTTGAAAATCCGAGCAGAAGGTTTTTATTATTTTCGGTATTATTTTTTCTTGTTGATGAAACTGTTGGATCTTGTTTTGAACAACAGTATTTTGTTTGCGAAGTTATTTAAAATACCTGGCTTTTCCTTAGCTGAGTTTTGTGTTGACCTACTTTTCTCATGGCCCCAACTGAAACTGTGCGATAGTGTTAAATGTACAGGTTTGGTTTCAGTGGTCTTTTAGCTGCAAATTGTTTTAGAGCTCAGAACTTGGAAAAAAAACTTGGTTTGAATGCTGATGAGGCAGAAATAATATGTTTACAATATTTCCTGCAGAACTGGAGGACAAGGTGAGAAAGTGAAGTGAGTACGATGTTTGCATTAGACCCTTAATATGTTGTACTGTATATATCTACCTCAAAAGAGATTTATCAGGCTTAACCAATACTTATATTGTGTGTGCACGGTAATGACTGTGTTGTTAGTACTTCTGTTGTATTTATTTGAATAGAGATGTGATGGTTGTAACTCAGGGCTTTGGTTAGATAATTTTAAGCACAAAGTCAGAAGTTCCTCTAATGCATTTGCTGTTAGCTTTTGCCTCTCAAAATAGGACAAAGACATGCTAGGTGGTAAGAGTGTTAGCAGAGGGAAAAGAAATGGAAAATAGCTTTAGGAGTAATGATGAAGTGGGGGTGGGGGGACACGGACCCCGAACACTTCTGTAAGTTTGGCCTGTCTGAAGAGACTCGTGTGTCACTTCAGAGCGGTGCTCGGTGTTATGCCTCTATGTGAGGAACCTGACAGTCTCAGTAGTGAGTTGGGCAATTGGCAGATGTACTGCAGGCAACTGTTATCTGCTGTGGATAACTTTGGGCCACATTAATGCTGATGTTTAGAATTGGGTTTAGAGTAGTCCTAAACCATCCTAAGCAATATGAACTACCTTTCTTCTGTTACACACTATAGTCCATAACAAAGCTACACATGTAATAGGCTTCTCTGTCTGACACGGCACCACAGCGTATTTGGATTCCCTCACACTTTGCAAAACAGAGCTCAGCTAGACTTGGACTTTGGGCTGCCGTCTCTATTTTCCAGCGTAATAAAAGGGTGAGCTGGGCAGGAAGGGAGGATCAAAGAAGTAGGGCCATAGTTTGCATCCAGTGCCCATGTTGAAGGTGTGGCAGCATTTAGTCAGGTTTCGGGCAGCAGAGTGGAGCAGGTCTGGCAGGTGAGTGACAGTGGCTGCAGCTCACACTGAGAAATTCAGCTGATAGTTTGGCTGTGGGCTGCAGAGAGTGGGCTGCAGCTGAGCAGAGTGTGGAGCAACTAACAGCCTGCAAGGTCGTGTGCATATGAGCTTGAGAAAAATAAAGATTGGCATGAATGCAGGAGAAGGCTGGAGGTTCCTTGCTGTTGATGTAGACCTGCATCTCTTGAATACAGTGGTTGTCTTGTTTTATCTTTTCAAAGCAGTAGGGTTCACTTCTAAACAGTTTAGGTGAAAAACTCCCCCAGAAGAATTGTTCTGAGGACTTGGCTGTTCTGTAGGTGCTAGGAGAAGAAAAGCCAGGAAAGTAGTAGCTGCTTGAGGCAAAATACTTAATTGAATTGAGTATTTTCGAATAATTACTTGCATGTTTGCTATTACAGATTCAGGTTACTTATACATTGTTTTCTGACTGTTGTGTCTCTCTAATGTGCGGTCACTGAATGCCAAGCACACTGGTGGTATGCCTGTTCTCCTGGCACTGATGGCTGCCATGTGCAATTCAAGGGCATACCTGAGGCACAGGAGACCTCTGTATGTATACCCGATGGGAAGCCGCAGGAGAATGTTGTTAGAAAGTATGAGTTTTTTGGTATCTTATTGTGTGCTTGTATGTGAAAACAATGAGGAGTTATTACTAGATTTTGCAGACTGTCGTTCTCTCCAGTCCTTATTTGGGCAGTACTGTCTTAATATATTTAATAACTGCAGAGCTGGAAGTCATAATGTTGATTGTGGTGAACAAAAGACAGAGTCCTGTCCAATTTTTTCTCAAGAACTGAAAGGATGCTAGCTTACACGTGTTTTGCTGTGATGAAGAGGATCCCACTGGAGACAGTGCTGGCAAAGCAAGTTTTAGGGGTGCTGTGGTCAGTGAGAGATGTCAGACTAAGTCTTCAGAGCAGAAATGCTGACTGCAAAAAGGGGTCTTGTTCTGCTAAATAAATTCTCTGGAGAAGAAAGGAAGAACTGGGGGAAAAGGTGTCTTTGCTCCTGACACATGCTGTTTTCTGCTGTGTTAGTACTGAGTTAGTATGTTGGAGTTTAGAAAGCACCTGTGCTGTAAAGCTGAAGAAGCACTTTTGAGCAGGGATTTTAGCTCAAACAGGGCATCTGTCAAGATGCTTATCTATTGTTCTTGTCTGGGTAAGCCTTTGGAAGTACTTACTGTGTATACTTGTCTCAGGTGTCAGAGTTCACTGTTATATCTGTCACAGGCCAGGGTTTAACACTTTTAGAGATAAATACAGGACATAGCCATTTTGATTTAAAATTGTATTACCCATGGAAATCTGACAGAGCATGTGTGACTTGAGGTTTACTTGAATATATGATATTTAATATAGAGTCCATATGCAGTTTTAGTAAGACTTTCATCTAGTCTTAAGCATATTGTTACCAAACACTAATAAGCAGAGTCTTTGGTCAGAGGACCACTGCCTGGGACAAAACTGCAGGCAAATTTTCAGCGGTTGGTTGAGCACATAAATTGTCTAATGTGAAGAACAGACCTAACCCAAAACTTTGTTCAAAATTCAAACCGGTTCAAGATGCAGTTCTTTCAGCAGTGGAGAAGGTGGGGTGGTTTTTTTGCTTTTCTGGGTGTCTGACAAATTCTTGTTCCAGCTTTGTTTTTTGACTCAACAGATGGGTAGAAGAGCTAGAGCATATGTGAAGAGCAAATTTTATGCTAAGGACATATATGTTGGGCTTAGTCATACCTTCCAATGAGAATCCTATTAGCTGTTTGGTTTAGGTTGTTAAATCTGTCTCTTTTATATTAAAAAAATCAGTCCCGCCGGTTCAATACGTCTGTCTTGTTGAGGAAGTATATGTACGTACTTCTGTAAGTATATTTATTTCTCTGAGTATTATCAAGTAAA